ATATATATGTATATATATATACATATATATGTATGGGTGTGTGTGTACGTGTCTATATATATAGCATGCATATATAAGTAAAATAACTGAATTAATATAAACCAGAAATATACATATGTATATAGTAATTCTAAAATAATCCTATGTCCTTGAGTTGATTAAGCACACCTATACAAGCTACAGGTAGTAGCAGCACTGCCATCAACAAAAGATCATGCCATTTGCCTGTAGTAGCTCTTCAAGCTTAGTCATGATCTGCTTTCATACAACGTATGATCATTACAGTCTAAATCACCATGGAAACATTAACATAAGCTAGAGTTCCAAAACATGTATATATAGAATGCAATCCTATAATATACAACATCACACCACAACCATACATGAAAACTACAACACTCCAAGTAAATATGTATCTCATTCAAGCCATGTTACACAAGACATCCAACAATGCATATGAACACACCATAACATATATCATATGCAAACACTTCAACTAATGTGTCATTACGCATTCATTTATTGAGGTCTTTTAACAACATGAGCAATCTAAGTGATTTTCACTCTATTGAACCAACCTAATTGTTTTCACGCTTGAAGTACTGGCTTAATCATAACAAAATGGGATACCTATCCCTCCTCTAGTTTCTCGAGTCTCATCATTTATACTAAAAAAGTTCAGTTCCATCGTTAGGAGTGATACGACTAAGTATAGACATACCATGACCTTGGTATGCATTATCAACTCATATGTGGAGTTAGTCCACTGACCATTCTCATGGAACCACACAACCTTTCTAGGTACTTGGTTAAGGGTTGTAGCCTTCGACCTCTTACTTTACACAACCACTAACTAAGGACCTAGAGGGGACTCAACACATATCAAAAACCTACTCTATGAGACATACCTATTGAAGGAGGATTTTCCAATAGTGGCCTACTTGAGCACCACTCTAAGATATCCTATGTAGGATCTTCAATTTTGAAAATAATTTCCTCTCCTTAAATCCTAAGTTAACCAATCATGCTTTAATTTTATGTTGCATTTTCAACATCTACACCTTATCATAAATCTACCATATAAATCACATCTAGTTAACATATATAAAGATTAACAACAACATCATCCACACATAGCATATCAAGGCTCTACAAATCATTCATCATACAACACACACACACACACACACACACACCACACACACACACACACACACACACACACACACACACACACACACACACATATATATATATATATTGTCACCATTTTTCAACACTATACAAACATCTACACATATCATATCTAATCAACATATATAGAACAATCATCACATATCATATAATCATCTATATATGCCATATCCAATCAACATATATATAACAATCGTCATACATCATAAACATTCACCAAAACACCAATATATCATCCTACCATTCCCACACTCAGTCGAACTTACCTCGCTCTCGACACCATCAAGGTAGGAAACTCTCTGTTTGCTCACGTCTGATGCCATCCAAACCATGCCCAACATAACCGAGGTGAAGAACCCTTAGGACCTCGTGCTTGGTGTGACAAAATCCATGCCCGACCTCATATCAGGCAGAGAGTTTCTGTCTGACTAACACTCGATGTCGTCCTAACAAAGAGCTCTAGCTTGACTACACTAGGTGCAACTCAACCTTGAGCCTGATGCCACCAAGTCAAAGACCCCCTAAAGGTCTTACCCCAGCATCATTCACACAATGCCTGACACCGTCCTAACTTGAGATGAGTCTCTCCCTCACGTCTATCACCATCGATCTTATGTTCGATGTTATCGAGAAAAAAGCCTTTGGTTGGAACTATGCCTGATGCCATGAAGGCATGCCTAATGACGCATTAGAAATCTATAGATGCAGACTTCAAAATCACCTCAATCCACCTGAAAAATAAGAAATCCACAACATGCAAAGCATCTAATATTGCACACACATCATATATGACATGAAATTGAGCTAAAATAACACATGCATTACAATTCACATTAATCATCCAGAATCCACACCCATGAACTCAAACACCAAGAGCTCAACATATATTCATCAATTCCCCCTCATATTTTGCTCAACAACTACGTATTCAATACAATCTAAGCACCTACAACTCAATAATCCATTGATGAATTAAGTTTAAATTCCCTTATCTCAATCTTCAAGTAACTGGGATCCAAAAAGGAGGAAGGGGAAGGAAGAATCACTCCTAGCAATAAATGTCACACTCCAGAGGAACCTAGAAGGAAAAAAGGGAAGAAAAGTAATAGTTTCTTAGAGAGATCACTCTCCCTTTCTAAGGTCTTTAGGAAGTTGAGTTTATGAGACTCAACTCTCAGAAGAACCCTTATATACCTTTCCTCCTTAGGGTCAATTAGACTTCTGGCTAGAGGTACTCATACTTACCTAACTTACCTGAGTATAGTGTTACAAATTACATATAAACATTCTTTCAAGAGATTATATTGATATTCCTTAGACATTTCATTAACTCTTAATTATTTAAAAATATTAATATTATAATTTGTATAATAGAAGTTATTGTGAATGTTTTTTTAAACCAAGAAGTTATTGTGAATGTTAAAAAATAAAGAATGTGTAATCTTACCAAACTTCGAAAAATATTCGTGTAATTTAAATAATATATTCTTCACGAGTCACAAGTGAAACTTTTAGACACTACAGGATTGTGTCTGAAAAATTTTAGGCTTAAAACAAATTTTATATATTAAGTTTTATTCTTATTATATAATTAACCAATTTTATTTTATTTTTAATTTATAAACAATAAATTTTTAATTAAATTTAACAATTAAGAAGTTTTCCCATCTCATACAATGATAATTCATTCTCATCAATTCACTATTTTCCAACATAGTTTGAAATTAAATCTAAAAAATTTTAATTTTGAAAAAAATGATAATGGTAGTAATTGTAAATTATTTTTATTACAATATTCTTTCAAATCTTATTTATTGAAATTCAAATATATATATTTTAAAATTAATTTCAAATTAATTTAATTTTTTTTCAAATAATTTATGAATAAAATAAAATAAATAATTGTGATATTTTTACAAAATAATCAAAATTAGAAAATATTTTAATAGAAGAACCAAAATAATTAATTTTTAGATAAATATCCATGCTTCCTATTATCTTATCACTATCATTTTTATTGATATTTTATATAAATCATATTAGTTTCGTGAAATTTAATCTTTATATTTATTTAATATCATTTTTATCAAAGTTTAAAGTATATTTATGTAATATAGTTTTTATTTTTTCAAATTAATAATTCTATAATAATATTTATGTATATACACTTAAATAATTGTATAATCTTATATGACAAAGAATTAATTATAAATAATATAATAATATATATAAATATTTAAATTAAAATTAATTATTTTAATATATATATATATATAGAGGAGGGTTCAAACGACATCGGT